AAATTATTGTATACAACTTTCATGTTTTATACTAAGCCTAATTCGACCTCTAACATGGTGAACTAGAATCGGACAGAACAGGGGAATAATGAAACTCAAATCTGGAATTTGAACTTTTCCTCTAGAATTTCATATCCAACAAGTATTCTATCATCAACCCATCAATTACTAACTTAATAACATCCATTAAGAGGTAGATAACCATAATCAAGGCTGAGAATACAAACCCTAACTCCATATTCCAACACATCATTCCAAGCTAACAAATTTACCGTCATAAGGCAAGATTAAGAGTTTCTAATTAAACTTTAACAAGATTAAGTGCAAGGAAAGGATAGGAAACCATAATAACTCACCAAAGCTGCTAGCAAGAGAGAACCACAACCTTTCCCTCCAAAGTTTCCCTACACAAAGGCTCTTAGGTACTAAAGGAAGGGTTTAATCGGTTTAGTTTTTTGGATTTTCACTCAAATTAAGCTAAAATCAAGATGGAAATTGAATGATTTCTTCCCTCTTTTCTCTCTCACTCTCACGGCTGGAATGTGCAGAAATGGTGGCTGATTTGAAGCTTCAAGAAGGTTAAGATGACAGGAATTCATTTGGGTCAAAATTGGACAAGTGTCACCTTTTGATTGGAAGTCAATTTTGTTTCTTTTTCCTTGATTTTCTGGTCAAAAATTTCTGCCCTTTGAAGAAGATATTTAGGGCCAATTTTGCTAAAATAAAAGTGAGAAGATTAAGGTAGTAAAGTAGTGTTCAAGTGGTGCACTCATCCGGTAACAAACGGTACCCGTCGGTTCAACCCGTTTTTCCTTAAATCGCGTATACCAGGGTTTTAACTTATAATTCACTAACTTATTATTTTCACTTCTAATCATACTCTTAACATCATCTAGAACTCACTCTTAATCACCAAATTGGATACACACTCCGTACCGAATAATCATACTACGAAAAGACGCGAAAATCCTAATTTATCGTAACGATGAAAGTAAAAAGGAAAACGTTGAGTTTATGATTAGTTGTAGCTATTGGGGAAGTGAATGTATACTAAAGTTATTTTAAAGTAATAAATTCCAAATTAAAGGAAATTTTAAGAAAATATGAGGGGTTTTACAATTGCATAGATTACAATTAGGGTTTCGGTTGAAATATGAGAAATTTAAGAAAACCGGCTAGTCACAAGTGAAAACTAGGGTTTTGATTAGATTTTAGGGTTTCTAGAATTTAGGGTTTCTAGTCTTTAAAACAAAACAATGTCTTAAACTAAAAATAAACTAAAGAAATCGTAATATCCTCTTTGAGACTAAACAACAATAGTATCCTAAAAGTTGGGGTTTCACAAGCCCTTTCACACATAGGACGGCAGCCGACACGAGGCTCCTTTCAACGGGTGTGGTTCCTTTTCTCAAACCGCGGGTTCCCCCCAAAGTTACTACCCTAAATTGGCAGGCACCAGCATTTCCTTTCCTCAAGCTAAATGTGGATGGCTCCTTGCTGGGAAAATCCGGGGCACTCAGGAGGGGAAGGAATTCTTCGAGACTACTTGGGTCAAGTGATCACTGCATTTTCCATGTATTATGGCCATAGCACCAGTCTGCAGGCGAGGTACAGGCGAGGTTGGAGGGTCTCAAGACTTGCGTCACGCTTGGCCACATCAGGGTGGTGGTTGAAATGGACTCTAAGCCCCTGCTAGACGCGGTCCATCGGCAAACTCACTGTCCATGGCGCATCGATGCTTTTGTTCGGCAAGTCTGGAGTATAGTTCGGAATGGGCAATTTCATCTTGTACACAATTATTGAGAGGTCAACTCTGCAGTTGATGCCCTTGCTCGACACACAAGTACAACCCACTCATCTGCTACTTACCGCCCTCATAATTTGCCGGGCCTAGTTAGAGGCTTCGTTAGTTTAGATAGATTGAATTTCCCTTACTTAAGAGTTTCATTGCCATGTACTCCTTAACTTTCAGATTAATAAAATATTTTTATTGAAAAAAAATCAATGATATATTGTTTGCCAATAATGGTAAAGAACACTATTATGCCAATAACAGTAAAGAATACTGTTATGGGACATATGGAAAAGGGAATTTTGATACTATCAACGAGATGAAGGAAGTATCATTCATACCTTCAATATTATATACTATTTTGATGTTGTATAAAGATTATGCTATTTCTACTTAGCATATACTAGATAAACTTGCAAGGTTGAATATTTGCAGGTAACACTTATTTTTTTGAGTTTACGTTATGTTAAGTAGGGTTGAAAGCACTAGACCCCCTAAACATTACCCTTAGTTACACTTTATTCCTCTTAACTCAATAAATAAATACTTTGTCCCTGCGTCTCCCTCCCCTCCACCAGGTTTTTGTGTTTTAGGACAAAAGTTCCCATTCCATATTAATTATTATTTTATTTATTTTTTCTCCTTTTTTGCCCTTTTCCTATTTGTCCTTTTCCTTTATATTTTTTTAATTTTACTTTTTTCTCTTATGTTATCAACTACTTTGTTCTTTTTGCTGTTATTATCCATATATTTTTATTTATTTCTAGTTTTTCTACTTTTTGTTATTAGAAATATTAATTATCATAAAGTTTATGCTATAACAAAATATATGTCATCTATGCACATAAACTATTTTATACATTACTTAAATCAATATGCTAGAGTTTAGAATAAATTAATTTTTAATAGCAACAATAATAAATTCAAATCATGCTAACATAGTGTTTAAACAAAAATATTGGTTACTTCATTTTTGGGATGTATTTTTAAATATTAAATAATTTAAAATTCTAGTTTGCTAATATTTTTTTAAACGGTCAAATTGCTAATAACATACATTTTTTATTATGATAGGCATAGATCAAATTTTTACACTATGTAGTTTATCTTGAATTTTTTAATAGTGGTAATAAATAAAACAAGAATGAAATTATAAGTAAAAAATAATTACAATATTATAATAAACATACAAATTAGTAATACTAATAGAAAACTAAAATAGAATAGTAACATAAGAGAAGTGAAAATGAAAAATAAGTGAAAGAAGAAAAAATACAAAAATAAAAGAAAGTAGTGGATAAGGAAAAATAAGGGAATGAATAAATAAAAAAAATAAAGTAAAATAGTAAGGGCATTTTTGCCTTAAAATCTCAAATAGGGGGTAAAGTGCTTATTTAACGAGTTCAGGAGTGTAACGCATAAATGAAGGTGAAGTTCAGGGGGTTTAGTACATTTAACCCTTTTAAGTATTGTAATACATGATCGATAATTACAAAGTTGTAGCTATTTAAAGTTGAACATCTTAGTTCGTTTAGTCTTTCTCATGCGAATGTCACTTTACACCGAAAGGTTTGTCTCCACGATCATTTGTTCTGTTTGCCTATTTTTTATATTTTAGTGAGTTTTCTTTTAATTATAAACCACAATGATGGACCTAAAATTTTAGTTTAGGGGCAAACCATCAAAGGTATAATAGCAAAAATATATCATATTAAATAAAGCATACTAAATGTAAAATGAAATTTCATGATAACTTACAAGAATAAGATATTTTTCATAATAAAGGTAAAAAATAAAGTAAAATACGAAAATTAGACTCTATACCATTCTATTCACTATCAATGTGAGACATTCAAAACTATGTTTGAAACTTCTTATTTTTGTATAATAGTTAAATATTCCTTTGTTTGTCCTTGATTTGCTATGTACATAATATAGTTTTACCTTGCTATTTTATAGTAATCATGGAAACTAAGAATTGGCTTGTTATAATACATTTGCTTAAAAGAAAAATTAATGTTTCCTTAATTGTTATTTAAAAATAATACTAATTCTATTGTAAATTATATACTCCCTCCGTCCTATTGATATTGTCATACTTTCCTTTTTTATCTGTTCCAAAATAATTGTCATTTACTAAATTTGGCAATGAAAACTTTCGCACATTTCCGCTCCATACCCTTCAATGTGACAGCCTTTTCTTATCATTTAGTGGGCCCAATGTGACACATTTCCTCTCACTTACCAAGTACCAACATGCACTTAATAGTTCGTGACTCCGACGTGAAATGCAAATAACACTCGTGCATGACACTTTCCTCTAAAGTAGTGTGGAGACATTTCATACTTTTGGGTCCCACATGTCTTATCACAACTTGTGGCCCTTTTATCATTCAACCACATAGAATACATTAAAAGTCAAGGGGGTATTGCCGGAACTTAAAAGCAAATCATCTAAAAGTCTTGCACTGTTGATAATAATTGCAATTCCCGAAACGCGACATACTTTCTGGGACGGAGGGAGTACTAACTATAGCTATTAAACTTGACCTAGTAAGGAATCCCGTGAGAGACCGGATCGATAGGTCGTTGGTTCAACTAGTGGGTCATTGTTATAAGAAAATCGGCCTTTTGTGACAACAAAAAGTCATCACTAAAAGCCAAAAAGTCGTCATTATACAGATATAGTGACGACTTTTTCCATTGTCACATGGTTGTCACAGATTCTATATCACAAATGGGTCCATGTGACAGCCCTTTGAAAGTCGTCACATAATCTTGTTATTCAATGACGAGGACAAAGTTGTCACTAATGGATATCATTTTGTGACGACTATTCTTGTCACTATTTCACCTATGTTTTTGTCATAAATGTAGTAAAAGTCATCACAAATTTGAAGTCTACAGTGACGACCTGAGCTTGTCACAATCAGTCCTATTATTCAGTGACAAAAATGGTCGTCACTTAGTGAAATTGCATGTTAGTGACAACCTTCAAAGCATTTGTCTTGAAGAATTGAAATTGACCATTACGAATATAGCATTGCCATAGCATTTCCAACAAATTATAGCAGAATATTCAATTTGACAAAAGACAAAATTAACGTAGAATGAAACCACAAATTCATATATATGGCCATAAACGTCTATAAATTCATCAAAACAAAAGTGAACCACAAATGTTGGGTCCCAAAGCCCACATAATAAGTTCAAGCAGTAATGACCAATACATATCCTTCCCAAAAAAAGAGTACTAGATTTCTAAACTAAAGCATAGACCACGACACCAATGCCAGACTTCAACCATCTCTATCATCATATCCAACAGCCTCCTCATGATCAATATCAAGCTGGACTGCATTGAAAATAAACTATTAAATGCATTAGAGTAGACTTTAGTAAGAAAATATTCTATTACAACCTTATACTGCTGAATTTGAATCAATAGTCATACGAAACAAGACTCCAACTACTGGTAACTTGATAAGAAGTAAAAGAATTAGTCAAAATAGAGTTTCAGCCAAAATAAATGCAAAGAATTTATCTCCTCACCTTTTCAATAGTCTGTCATTTGCGCAAGTCTTTCATTTGGGCAATTAACTCCTCGTACAACCCCCTAGTTTCAAGTTACTGCTCTTGCAAGTTCTTAATTAGCTCCTTTTGGGCACTGAATTCTTCTGCAATTTGTATAGCTCATTCATCTGCTGCAACTACCCTTCTTTGATGCTCTTCAATTTCACTTCTCAAACGGTCAAGCTCAATTGCTTGCCTCTTGGTTGTGCTGCAGCCACGAAGCTGTCTAGGTATGAGATAATAATTAGTACCTTCTTTAAAGAGATAAGTTAGATATGAAACAATAAAAAAAAGAGGTGAATCTGTAAAGATATAAGTACAATTCCTACTAATAAACAAGGAGCTTACATGTGAAGTTTTAATCTTCAGTTACAGTTGATCATGCAAGTGCTGCCAAAAAAAAAAAACAAATTTAGATTCCATGAGCCTAATTTCTATAAATTTGTAAAATTAGCAAGAATTTTTTCTACAAGCAGTATATTCTTTCCTAATGTACATAAGTAGCCATAAGGTAAAAGACTAAATTACAAATTTTCAGTATAATTACTTATCAAAAGCATACGTAAAATGAGCAAAAGTTAAAACATATATAAGAGAAATAATAGATTATGCGATTCTTGATTAGAAACCAATTCATACAATTGCTGTCTTATAATTTACACTATCTTAAAACAATTTACACTGTCTTATAATTGCTCATCACAGTACATGTCTAGTTCTAATGCTAGAAAATGACAATCATGTTGGAGATAAAAGTGGAGAGTAAATTGATTGATCTCAATGGTAGACCTCAACAGATACATGGACAAGCTTCAAGTAATCAGGTGTTCATATAAGACAGGACAATCTAGAATTCTCAATGTTTTTTCCAGATTATATGTTAAACGCATACTTTTGCTAACTTAGACAATCATCCATGAATTTTATTTTGAAGGAACAAGGAATGGAAATGTTAAGTGGTAGCAACCATGAATCTGTTAGTGTTGTTCCAGTTGCATCTTTTAAAAGAGACTGGCAAGTGATTTAAACACGAGTTGTTGGAAGAGTGTTATCTGATTTGGTTTGAGTTTCCATTGATTCTTTGGCCTTTGGTCATTGTACCAAGAATGCTTTGTGGTGCACAGTTTCCATCCAGGAAGTAAGTAGATTGTTCGAATAGACTGGACAACCAATTAATCATAGTTCCAGTTCTGAAGTATGTATTAGATTTTCTCAAAAAAAGCTGAATGTATTAGGCATTGATGTTGGCTCTTCCTCTAGATACAGATATACAACAGTTTTCATAGTACTCCTGATAATTCTAGTTATAATCTCATGACAGTAATGAAGTGGACAATGATGCCTGTATCAGATATGTCATCATTTTCCCAAAGATATCAGATATGTATTAGGCTAGAGAACCCAGGTAAGTGATTCTAAAACCAATTGTAGGATCAAACGTATTAATTGAAAGGAAAAAAACCAAAATGTTAACTAAAATCCCAATAGAAAGGCAACTTAAGATTTGTTTCAGAGTCTAAGAAGGAAATTAATGGACATTCATGTTGTCTACTTGTATACTAAAATAAATGGACAAAGTCATGGTCCATTGCAAGATATTGAATATTCCCTCCATCCCACCATCTTGATCCATTCATTTCCTTAAACTGAAGATCAAAAGAGAATACTTTAGTCCAAGTCAGTCAAGAAAAATGGTTCAAAATACAGGTGACTTTCCCCTTTCCCTCATTTTGCCTCTTTCTGCCACCATATAAATTCAGTTAAAGTAATAATCAATCTATGTGAAGTAATAATATGCACCTCAATAAGCTCAGATAGTGATACAAATTGCAGAATTTTAAGTGGAAAGATAACTAAACCTTAGCTGTAGTTATCACAAGCCCTGTGTCAATGCCAGAGCTCTGAATTGCCTCTTGAGCTTTCTTAGATGCCTCTGAAATTGCAGGGGAAGCAAGCTTCTGAGCTTGCTCTGCTACTTGCTTTAAAATAGGCAATGCAGCATCAATCCCAGGCTTCACAACTTCAATAGCAACACCAATCACTTTCCCAATGACATCAAATATACTCGAACCCACATCTTGAACTTGATCAATCGTTGACTCCACTTGAAAATTTCAGCAAAAACACCTAAATTTTCATGAAATCTGCAGTCCCTTGTGAAGAATGTGTCAAAAACTTGGGGAAAACTCAAAAAAATAGTTCGCTACAAGAAAATTTCCACATCCAAAATTCAAACATGAATTTTCTCAGGGGGTCTGGACAATTCGTTTCACAAAGGATAGCTGCCCTTCCACTTCGTGTCACTCTCACAACTCTCTCAATCTCTCACCATTGAAAGATTAAAGTGGAAGATTGGGCCCATAAACTCAAGATTTAGCTTACTTGACCTACATTTGACAGAAAATATTGAAATTAGATGGATAAATGTAATAGATTATTTACCTCAAATTATGCCGTGACAACCTTAACTCTTGTTTTCCTTAAGATTCAGTCTTCAAACTCTGGCTTTCCTCTAAAATTCATGGTCAATTTTCTGTGTTCTTGCCTGCCTCGAATTAGGGATTTTTGCTATCTACAACTCCACTAAAGCTGCCCAAATCTTTTGGGCAACTCAAATTACGGATGAAAATGGTGGGTTAAAATGATTTTCTGGATAATTTCAGCAAGATGATAGTGGAGAGAAGGAGAAGATGTAGTGTCCAAAAGTTGGCAAGAAAGGGGAAAGCAAGTTTTGTCCAAAATTTTTCTAGGTGTTATGGTGTTATTGTTGAACTCTTGCTAAAACGACGTCGTTTCTACTTCTTTTGTTTACCCGCCTCTTCTCCTTCAATTTTCAGCTTCCCGCTTCCATTTTGGCATTAGCCAAAAAATAACAGTTTCAACAATTTGAACCTTTCTTCACAAAAATAACGCCTTTTCTAATATTTCTCTTTTTTTCCCATCTATGTGTAATTAAAATTGTTTATTATTTTAAGCTTTTTAGCTCACAAGCTATATTAAAACTTTATTTGTTATATTAAAATTTTAGAATATGAAAATTTAGTGTTTTTGGATAATTTTTTTTACTAACATAGGATTTTTTTTGGATCTCTACGAAAAAATAATGTTCAAAAACTAAAAAGCTTGTTACATATATGTTTATGATTCAACAAAAATCTTTTAATGCAAATATTTTTTGTATCAATTTAATAATATCAATTATGTACAAATTGTGGTCTGACAAGACCTAACAATTAGTTTAGTTGATCAAATAACCAAAACAGTTTGCTAATACATGCATGAAACACTACATGTATTTGATACAAGTACCGATTCATAAAACCATAAACAATTTGACTATTGTAATTAATAATAAACTCTAGTCATTCAATTGTGAGGATTTTAATTAATTTCATATTAAATTTTACTGTTCTTTGCCATCATTTTCATACTATGCTAATCACTAATTTTTCATGTGTTGTCAAGAGAACTAGATAAGGAATCTATGATATTTTTACCTTCATAACAAGTTATTAATTGAGTTTGGAACAATTATAAAATATGCATACATTTTTTATTATAGTGCCTTCCTCATTTTGCTAATGAAAAACATAGGCCAAATTGTAAAGGATAGGATGCCATAATAAAATTTTTGAAATTACTTTATCACATACGAGGCTAAATTGCAAAAGATAAGGTGTCATGGTAGACTTAATGGAATTAGTTTACTACATATAGGGCTAAAATGTAAAAGTTAGGGTGTCATAATAGAATTAATAAAATTTATTTACAACATTTGGGGCCATATTGAAAAATTAGGGTGGCATAGTAGAATTAATGAAAGTGAGCTACGAACAAATACTTTAGACAGTGACGACTAATTGTTGTCACTAACTCTGAATCGGTAATCACATTGTGACGACATTGTAAGTAGTCATTGTAGGCCCCATGTCAGTGACAACGTTTTTGCAAGTCATCACAATGGTGATTTCCCGCCACACCGGCTAGTTGCGCGCCATTCATATTGTGACGACTAATCCTGTGTTGTCACTGATGAGAGTCTACCCTCAGTCAACTATGACAACATCAAAAGTCGTCACTGAATTTGCTCAATTGTGACAAGTTTTTCCGTTATCACTGAGAATGTTGTCACAAAAGGCCAAATTTCTTGTAGTGTGGTTGAACTAGTGGGTTACTCGAATAATACTATTTATAAATGCAAAATAGTAATTTTATTATATGTAATATATCTAATAAAGTGCTTTTAGATACTAAATATTGTACTTATGAAGGCATATAATGAACATATAAATATTAATAGAATACTTCGTTTCACTTTTTTACATTCTTTTACACAAATAAATTGAATAGTCAAGTATCAAACAAAATTATGTCACTTACTTTCAAGGATACAACATCAATTTTTTATTATTTTATTCTTGTTTAATAATAAAATATTTTTAACTATTCAAATATTGTCACATGACGATAACATTTTTAGTTTGAAAGTTAAAAGGATTTATTGTATAATAAAAAAATAAACAAGTTTATTTAAAGAAATATTGAGTTATCAAATAAACTAGGCAACTGATAAAGTATTATGCACATTTAAACAAAGATCCAATGTTCAAATCTTGTCAAAAGCATATATACACTTAGTTTCAAAAATAAAGACCCACAATTGTTTTAAACAAAGTCAATAAAAAAATCATACTGGTTTCTAATTGAACCAGCAGGTCAAATGGGTTTGACCAAATCAACTATTTATGTGATTAAACTAGAGATCCTGCCTGACCTAATAATGGTTCATTGGCCAAACGGTTCAACCATTAGGCCTAATCGATTTTAATAACCATGATACTAGTAGTATACTTTTATAAGGAAACAAATAGTTAATTTTGTATAGAACACTTTTATAAAAGGAAATCAGGGAAAATAATCAAACGAACTATTAACAATCATATTTTGGAGGGGTGCAAAGTGATATAATTTTATTTTTGCTTTTTAATAGGATTTGTATGGATTATTATTTATGTCTTTTGTAATATAAAGCTCTTTAGTCTTTACTTATTTTCTTTTCCTAATTGAATTCATGTGGAATCCTGATGTTGAGAGAACATTAGTTTACAGAAATCTAGATGTGATGATATCTATGGAGGCCATGGACCATCCTTACTTTGCCATACGTTGTGTTCCAAAATAGAAATATTATAGTTTATTGCATTGTTAATAAGAATATAGTTTGGAGAGTTTTGTGCGTGTGTAAGTTGTAATTTTGCTATCCCTTGCTCAAACCATAGTTTCTCTTCTATGTTTCATGGAAATGAGAAGACTTCTGCACCAAATGTATCTACATGTTTGTTTTTAAATTTTTTCCACCAAGGAAGTGGGGAGTGAGGAGCAAGAAGGGGAATTTGAACCGGAAACCTCTATGTCTTGAGATATAAACACCAACAGCCAACCTAGCACATTCATCTCTGCCAATATTTGGTATACCATGGAATCCTCCAGCAACACACAGTTCTTTGTCAAATTTTGGTAACAATGGTTTGATGATCTTTACCTTACGCAGTTTTAATCTAAACCACCTAACTGTAATACTTTTTTAGCTATAATAAGTGGAAGCCTTTATGATCATCTGGCATAACTTTTGTTGGCTGCAAAAGCAGATATATTAGTAATACCATAGTAAAATCATTACAACTATATTTAGTTAATTCTGAGGCTAGCCTTTGATCTTATACATGCCCAAAATATAATATTGTATCACAAATACAATATCTAATCAACTTTATTAGGGGGAGATATAGTTGGAAGTTACTAGACAGGAGGGATCGATAAATGAAATTAAGTAAAAATAAAAATTATAACCAAGGAAGAAGCTCAACAATCATAATGTTTATCAAACAAGCATGACACATTTTTCCTGTTGTTTTCTTCTTCTTTTTTTTCCTTTATTTGCTGCTCAAGTTTTCAAGATGAAGATTCTGCCACTTTTCATTCTTTGTTCTCCCTTTAACATTTGTTTAAAGATGGATGGTCAAGGATAAGTTTAACACCTTTGAATAAATGAGTATAGCAAAGATAGAATTGAGGGACGGCTTATAATCTATAGATTTCTTTGCATTTGTTAGTAACTTATAATCCTTCCCTTCTATCATTGCAATGCTTATTTATTCAAAGTTGTTAAACTTATCCTTGACTGTTCTACTTTAATCAAATGTTCAAACAAAAACAGAGAATGAAAAGTAGCAGAATCTTTGTCTTGAAGACTTGAGCACAAATAAGAAAAGAAGAAGGAAAAGTAGAAGAAGAAAATAGCAGGAAAAAATGTGTCATACTTATTTAACAATCATTAAGGTTGTTGGCTAACTCTTTCGCCTACAAGACATAGCCAGCAAAGCCATGAGTTTGTTTCCACTATTAAACTTTATTCAGATATGACTTCAATTTCATTTCAAGATACTTATAAACATCCCAGAAAGAAAACATCATCAATTGGAAATCTATAGAGATAGATTCAACTTTCTAGAATTTGATATGATGAAACTAGAGCTGCTTTTCATTCCTTTGCCAGCTATAGGTCACTTGGCATCTATAGTGCAGTTATCAATGCTACTTGTAAGTCGAAGTGAGGAACGCTCCATTCGAATCCTCATTTTCAAACTGCCATATGATGCCAATGCAAATTCATACATTGAATCACTCTTCACAGAAACCACCTAAGGCGTATAGCTCGTTAAATTTCCACAGCCAGAATTACACGCCGAGTTATCTAAGGAACTGGAGAACCCTGTCACCTTTTATTCTAGATAGAGAGATAAACAAAAACCTAGTGTTAGGCATTTCATTGCTCAACTGAAAAAGTCTGGCTCATCAAGAATCATAGGATTTGTCATGGATATGCAATGCACAACCATGATTGATGTGGCCAATGAATTTGAGGTCCCTACCTATGTTTTCTGTACATTTGGTGTAGCTATTCTAGGCCTTAAGACTTTATGTCTAGACTCTTGTTGATGACAACAACCAAGATGTAACACAGTACAAAGACTTAGAGAACGAGGTTTCTGTCTCAACTCATATCAACCCTATTCTAGGTAAACAATTCCCTACATCAGTTT